TACACTTTACCAGGAAGTAAAGCAGCCAAGTCTGCTCCACTATAAGCGTAATCTATTTGAACATAACTCGGTTTATGTTTAGATTGTTAGGAAAACTGGAGTAATATCTATGACTTATGTCTCCCCAGATTCAGAAACAGTATATTCTTCATTCATATTAAAATCATAGGGTCACATCTCAGAGAATAATTCCATCAAGTCACAGAACCACTTATAACTTGCTGGTATTCATAAATATCAGTGGAATTTGAACAAATTTGCCCAGAAATTCCTCAAATGGTATTTCAGGGATGGAGAAATGGTTGCAGCTTAATCAGTTCTGCAGGCCAAATTCTGCACACACCTGGGCTCTTTGTTCATTAAATTCCCCAGCTCCATGTGGATACCCCCCTCATACCCTCTCTTTCAAGGATTCACTTCATATTTTTCACACTCTTTACAATCTGTCATTCACTTGTCCTCCATTTTACTTGTCAACTCAGTGTTGCATTAATCTCATTTGGTATCCCCCACCTACTTATTTTTCCTATTTTTCCACTGGGCTTCTTTACCCTTTCTCTTAAAAAAAATCTGAGTGCTGGCAATGTCTCTTTTCCTCTTTGTCCCAGATCTCGAATTGTTCTCTTTATGATTCTATGTTAATCCTTCTTTGCATAGCTTCACAGCCCCAGACTTCCTCTGCCCCATAATAACCCTTTGTCTATCATTTTTGGGGAATAAATAATTTAGGATGTTCATATCTTTGTAAATGTACTTAGTCAAATTAGAAGGCATAAGAGAAAGTTATCATTATTTCACTTATGAGTGCCATCAGTTGTTAAGAGATCTGAACTGTTGCAGAGATGTTTAAGGTGCCTTGCAAGTGGCTTGTTTTTTCCTATTCCAGCTTCTTGTTGGTGTTTGGTTTTTGGGGGTTTTTGTTTTGTTTTGTTTTATTTGTTTGTTTGCTTGTTTGTTTTGTTTTGTTTTTAAGGATTTTCGGTTAGAATACATAGAATATTTTTGAATGAAGGAGATGCACTGTTCAAAAATAATTCTTGTATATGCACAGGTACAGGTGGACAGGCAAGACAAAAATGCCATTCAGTATTATACATGAATCACAGGACTGGAAAAAATGGCAGAGAAATATATAGGGATGCGTTACATGGCCATTCCTTAAGTCCAGCAGTAAGTTATTTTTCATAGAATCATAGAATCGTTGGGGTTGGAAAGGACCTTAAGATCATCTAGTTCCAAACCCCCTGCCGTGGGCAGGGACACCCAACGCTAAATCAAATCACCCAAGGCCTTGTCCAACCTGGCCTTGAACACTGCCAGGGATGGAGCATCCACAACCTCCCTGGGCAACTTATTCCAGTGTCTCACCACCCTAACAGGAAAGAATTTCCTTCTTATATCCAACCTAAACTTCCCCTGTTTAAGTTTTAACCCGTTACCCCTTGTCCTGTCACTACAGTCTCTAATGAAGAGTCCCTCTCCAGCATCCCTATGGGCCCCCTGTAGGCCCCCCATCTTTTCAAGTAATGGAGACATTCACATGGAAAATTCTTTTTAAGTAGAGTACATCCAGCAAAATAGTGTCAGCGTATATATGAAGACTGCACATAACTGCAAAGTACAAGATTGACTGTCCAGTTCAAAAAAACCCACACTTGCCTCACTTCCTTTTTAATAGCGAGCACGAAAGATGAAATTTAAAGACCAAATACTTCCTTCAGTAGCAGTGGCAGTATTCTACCAGTCCCACAGGGACTATAAATTTTTATCCAAGTCAAGGACATATTTATCTCAGTAATATACTTTTGATGAAATATACATAAAAAGAAAAAACAAAGAAAGACGAACTATAGCTTCTGTTGCATCATCTTTACTGGAAGTAGCTGTGGTTCATAGAGTTTGGTTTGCTGACTGGTTTTATATATTTTAATTTGAAAATCTCTCAAAACTTATTATGCATTCTTAATAAATTAGCCTCACCACCCCCATTCAAATGTTACATTCTAGCTACAGAAGAGTTCAGTGATGCAAAATTTGAACCCTTGTACAACTGAATTCAGTGAGATTCTTTTAAGGAGTCCAAGGTCTCACCAAAAGAAATTATTTTGACATCAGCAGCTGTAGCATACTGATGGGGCCAAGGACTCCTGTCACTACTGAAAAAAATTAGTGGCAATAGTCAGCCATTGCTAGACACTTACACTGACTACAGCAGACTACATTCTCCAGGGGTGGATTCAGCATGTTTTCAAGAATCTGTTTTTGTTTTGTTGTTCTAAGTTATTAATTTAATGTCATTTTAAGAAAATCAGCTTAAATGGAATTAGTCTGAATTTCAAAAATGGTTAACATAACCTGTCATGTTATCAAGGGACACCAATAGAAACTATGGATATAGCAGAAAAAAAAGGAAGATGTGAGATTATCATTTCTACAGATGAAGCCATACAGTGCACAGTCATGTAGAAATCAATCAGTTTTGTATGTTTTTCAGTTACAATTTCTAGAACACATTTTTGCCTACTGATTCATGGAAAACTAAGGACATGACAAATAAGTGAAGCAATGAAACATTCTTTCTACTGAAACAGGATGAAATAGCTGAAGTTTTGAATTTCAGAAGCACTTGTAACCATTCCTTTTCTTGTCCTTCCTGCTAGCATGTGTGCACGCCTGTCAGGTGAATCACACCAGTGCATGGGTCTGGCTATATCATTCTTTTCCTTGCATTCCTTTTCAACTGGATTTAATTCCCTTGTCTTATTAACTTCACAGCTTAAAATACTTGTGGAACTGAGAGAACAGAGAAGAGTGGCCAAACAGAGGGACTGTTTACAGTAAATGCTGCTGTCAATAGGAATTTGCAGTAAGCCATTGTCAGCACAGCCCTGGCTGTAGCTTCCTGGGCAGATTGTTGTTACCACTTCTCAGGAATAGTATTCTGGAATCTCACCACCCAGGTAAACTTGTCATAAAATTCCTCAAGTTCCTTCAATAATTTGTAAGTGTCTCCTAGGGTTTAAATTCTGTATCTCTGACGAATACATCAGAGACATGTAACAACTGAAGTCCATTGCTGGCTTTGCGCAGGTATTGCAAAACCTTGAACTATTTTGCTCTCTACATGCATACACATATCAATTTGCCTTGATTTTATTTTATACATGCCATATGAATAGCTTTGAATGGCTTCTTCTAAGGATTGTCTTCATTCTCCCCTTTCCAGTTATGAAGGGTCAAGTTCTGCTCTTTGTGCCAGATGCTTTGTTACACCTGAGGCTATTCATATTCCTTTGTGTCAAATGGGTGGCTTCTCTGACCAGCTGTAAACAATTAGTCCAACTATTTGACCAGAATTTAACAAAGCTGGAGACTGAATTAAGTTCTTCAGCTTTTCTAAGTAAGGAAGCAGTAGGGTTGTTTTGGGAGAGCACTATTTAATATAATTTAGTATGTATTTTGATAAAACCAAACATCATTCTTTTCAATGGATGTATACAGAGGTTGCTTGGAATACTTACAGTCTCAGCTTTGTCGTAAGTAGTAAGTTTGAGCACGCTTTATGAGTAGCCAGTGGACAATGCAGAACACAAAGGGATTATCATTGCACTTGCCTCAGCATATTCCACTAGAAAAATGATTTTATTATTTTCATATGACTCCTGACATCAAAGTGCAGGTAATATTCTGAATAAACCTTTGGCAAACATTATTCTTAATCTCTCATATGACTTTTAAAATATTTATTTTATTTCTACAAATGTAAATTTTAGTGCATTGACAGTCACACTTCTCCTGTTCTGTTAGAAATTTCTTAGATTCACATTGCAGACTAGCTTCCTGTGTTTTACAGAGTGTTTGCTTCTGTCATGCATTACTGATTTGATACACAATGCCACTCATTTCAGTCTATACAGGCCGCCACGTCCCAAGTTATTTTCATAGTACATTAAGTGCAAATAACATAGCTAACTTTTAAGTTGAATGGAGTTATAACCAGGAAAATACAAAATGTGGTATCCCTGTAGCTACTTAATTTGGCTGCTATTTATGCTCATTGTACCAAGTCCACAAATGTACAACAGAATCATTAGCCCATATATTAAGTATTTATTTTTACACATATATTGTTTTCCTGTTTATTTTATTACTGGAGCCATTACCAATTACAATTCATCATTCAGATGATCCCAGCAACAGGTGGCATCGTCAGTCCATGTCCTAGTCAACTCATTCACAGAGAGTGGTAGAAATGTTCCTGGTGCTGGGTGAAAATATTAACTACTGCATAACATATTTAAAAATAGATACTAAGAAATGAGTTATTAATTTAAAACATTCAGCCAGACTTATGCAACATAAGGAAAGTGAGGTTTAAATAGTTTACGTGAAAATTCTTGTAAAAGCAAATGCATTCAGAAGCCATTTTACATGAAAATCTCACCAAATCAATGTCAAAATTCAAATGTCTATTTTTAATGTTTTTCTTCCAGTCACACAATTGTGCTATCCCTAGAGTAAACACAAAAACACATTTACCTGACATGAGTTATCCCACTGGAATAATTTGTGCAAATAAAGCTTAGCACATGTCAACTACTGTAGGCTTAGGTCAAAAGCATGGAAAATTTCCAGCATCAGAAACAAAAGGACATGTTCACGGAATAAAAAATGGGAAATGTTTTATCGTTTTAAGCAAACAGACACACCTAATTTTTAGACTCAGATCGCCATCTTTTTTTAGACTGTGCCCAAGCCTCAGGAGAGATTTACCTTGTAAAGTTCCCTGCAATTGTGCTTGCTCAATTGCCTAAATTCAAGGCCTGTCGGGAATACACAGCTTCTGTCTGGTTCATGTGCCAAGGTCCCCATTCCACAGAATGAAACACAGGATGCAGGCAATAAGGGGGAATGGGATGATAAATACTCTAGTTGTTGTCCCATTGTAATTTGGAGATTTAAGGAAGGAGCAAACAAATACGGCTGGGGGAGGCATTCCAGGGTTTTGTGGTGTAATTTTTTATTGACTTTCTGTGGTCATCTGTAACAATGCTTTATGATTGCTTTTGCCTTTGAAAGAATTAGGATTGAGACAATGAAGACCTTGGATTTTAGAAGGAGTGAGTCAGAAGAAATAAATGATCAGATACCGTAACAATGAATAGAGTGAAAAATGAATGTTTCCACTCTTTGTCTTAGAAAAAGTTCGAACTGCATCAAGTATTCCATGTTCCTGAAGCTGAAATGAAAAATGAGAAAGAAACGTCTATGGAAAATGTGAAAACAGAGCTTGCGGGTGAACATTTCATGGCCTTGAGCAGATTTTCATACATACAAAGTATATGTCCATATTTAAGCTACAGTCTGGAAGTTACACTGGTTTGATTGGTTTGTACATTATCTTCCCAACCGCATCTGATCTTTTTTATCTTTTTCCTAAAACATGGGAGGAGTAATATGCATTTGCAAAGCAGAACTACAATAGGAAGTAAAACGGCTACCATAAATGAAGGTGGTGTATACCAAATAAATTGATTAACATCAACCCACTTATTCCAAGCAAACACCAGTGCGTGAACAGTGCATAGCAGCAGAGCTAAATATCCCATCTTGCTCTGAAAAGAGAGAGAAAACAGTAAGCTTTTTTTCCAACTTGGCAAAAAAAGTACTTTGTTCAGCAAACATGGAAATCAGGAGAGGCCTCAACCAACACACCTAAGTCAAAGAAAAGAGACTATTGGCTTTAAATTAAATTTAAGAACTGTAATTCAATAATCCAGCTATACCCCTCTATGCCACTGTAAGAGAAAACAGATGAGGCACATTTTTCATGCACTTTGCTAATACACAGAAGAGATTACAGATTACAGGCTGGTCCTGAAAAAGGGTCAGTTCTCAATATCTCAATTTGTAGATGTCAACTGTATCCCAAATTACTTTATTTTTTTTATAAATTATTGTGAGTTCAAAAGCAGATTTATAAATGGTTTTCCATTATTTGCAAAGAAAAACTTTAAGGTCAATTAATATCAGAAGCTCTAGTAAGTCCAGTACTGTGACAAAAGCCATTGCACAACTACGGGAAACTGAAGTCTTTCATTCCATTATAGTGAAAAATTTGGCTTAGGATGTCTACTAAATACAGGAGTAAAGGATTTTTTATGCTAGAGTTACTAGTAATTTTGAGATTCTTGCTGCCTAAGAATCTTGATATTGTTGGAAAAATGGAGTTACCCACCAGTGAAGACAAACACTGCCTTTCCAACTGCTAAAACTACAGAATCAGATTTTCGAGCATAAGTTTATTTGTTTATAAAACAAATCTAATATAGTAGTATTACTCTTCTGTGTTTCTTCACCATGTTAATTTAGTTCTGAAAGCAGTCATTCATTCAGAGGCTGTCTCCTAGACCTGTCCATATATATTCTCTGTGGAGCTGAAAACTTTTCTTACAAATTATGTACTCCACAGAGTGGGTAGAATCTCAGATCAGTAATTGCTGGAAGATGCATATTTCAGAGCTACTTTTCAAATTCAGATCAAATTTTCTAATGTCAGGTACTTATTAAGTCATTGAATTTTAAGATTTTGGTGTTCAGGGACTTAATTCAACACTTGCTTAACTTTAGTGTGATCACACTGATGCCAGCAGAGCCACCCCTTATTATTACTGTTTATGATACAGGATAACTAAGAGCAAATGAGATGCTTAGGTGAACAAAACAAGCACATCTGTAGCGAACTAAGGACTGGCTGCATTTGATTATGCATCTCTTCTAAGATGTCTCCTTTTCAGGATATTTTTTTGGTGGGGGTTATGAAGCTAATGGAAAATCTTTGCATATATTATTGGGCAGAAGTCTTCCTCTGGACTTTCCAGTCATCTGGTAAAGAATTGCCAAGGTAGCTCCAAGGGAGCAACAAGCATTTCTCCTTATGCACTGTGGTATGTAGGAACAGCATTGGCTGGTTCAATACCACCTACTTCCAATTCAGCAGGATACAGGGCATTCCTGAAACATAAGATACCTAGAAGGTGACTTAAGTGCCTTCAGCACCAGAGGTCTTTGACCTAAGAATACGTCCTGAAGGAACAACTGCTGCTCATCACAAAGGCAGAGGAGCGAAGAAGTGGTTTGGAGTTGTCTTTCTTCCCATTTTACTCCCTGAACCTGACAGTTTTTTCTCCTGACAAAGTAACAGATGAAATAAACATTTCTTGCAAAGCAACTGACAGAGTACGAAACAAACTCTTAGGTTGGTTTTTCTAACTTCTCTGCGTTTGATATTTCTAACTCCTAATGATCTTAGCTGATAACATGCAGTCCTACAAGTGAGGACTAATGACATGCAATAATGACATTTATGCATACCTGAATGTAGTGGAATTCTCTCCAGGTCAAAGAGTGACTAACAGATGGAATTGATGTTATTGCCAACAAGGCCAGCAAAGCAAGTCCCAGAATTCCTAAAGACACATAAATCTCCATTCTCCAAACATCATGTTCAATCCAGGCATTTTCTTTTTTTTGTTTTACCTGCCAAACAAACACCATATTTAACATGAAAGACTGGCATACTCTACCATTTGCATGAAATACACCTATTTTCACCATAATATTAAGGAAATATACCAAGAAACACAGGTTTTTTTTTTCTTGAATGTTTCTGAATGTAACCGCTATTTATGTCCAATGACAAAGTCTCAACTGCAGTTATGTGCAAAGCAAAGTTGGATTTTAAATTAGAAGAATTTAGACTTCATCAGTGTCTTGTTCTAGGAGAGACTGGTTCTGAGGCCTGTTAGCCTGCCTTCACAGCGGGAGAAATCTTACTCTTTGACAAAAAAATTCTGTCTATGGCTAAATATCATATCTGAGAGCTTATAACAGGAAATATATTAAAGCACTATTTTAGGGAGATAATTCAGCAGGCACTCTTAATGATGGTATCCTTCCAAGATAGTTGCTTAGCTCTATTTGTTTAAAAACAGCTTAACAACTTGGTACATTCAACTTCACTGAATACAACAGCTGGTATGGAGGAAAAGATTGTGATTTTAATAAACTGATGTCAAAACTTCTCTTATTTATGACTACTTACAACAGCCCTTTGATGCTGCTAGTGCTCACCATGGTGTAATATGCCTCAAATATGATAATTTCTTCATCTTGAAGACTGGAATCTCAATGAAATTTCTGGTAACCCATTCAAATCAGATTACCAGTAAGGCTGATTTCAGTTTTCAACGGGTTCAACTGTTTACAGAATTTGTAACATCATGCTAAACTCTAGATTAGGCTTCGGGGGTAATAAAATGTACATTTGCAGTCTATACCTCATATTTGAATAGTCCTTGCACTCAACGTAATATGCAAGTATTAGGAACTGTCTAGTCACAGAAGATCTTGGAGAGCTTTGCAAGCCAATTATTGTCCATGACTCAGAAGCATGATTGAAATTCTATCTTTTAACAAGTTAGTGTGCATTATCCCAATTGTGGAGACATCAGTGTTCACAAATTTAGTTTGTGGCAAATACGGATTATTGTGATTTAGCTCAGCCCTCCTTCATTGTTAGCTAATTCATGTTAGAAAGGAGATGTCTAAAAATGGTACGTGCTTAGTTTTTGTAGATAGATTCCACCTGGGCAGAGAAGGTTGATCCACATTAATAGTGTGCCAAAGACTTATATGTTCCTGTGAGGCAGGTATAATTATGTGCATTTTGCAGAGATATAAAATCCCAAATGAAGAAAATGACTTATTTAATACACACTGGCACAGCTGTGTTGACTCTTGACTCTCTATTACATGCTTTAACAACTAGGTCCTGCTCCATCCCTTAACAGTGCTCTGTAGGGATCTGCTTCAAAATCAGGGGAAGGCAGTCTTTTCCCCCCATCCAGATTTGCTTGAATGATCAAAACCAAGGATTTTCTGAATACATTTTTTTTCTGAATAATTCTGCTTGCATACCCATCATACCTGCTGGAATGCCCAGTTCAGCAGCTTGTATCTGTATGATCTTCTCATTGGATAGCATAGGCTATAGCAGGCATGCATTGTAGCGAAGAAGAAACTGAGAAGTCCAAATTGCTTTCTTGATAACATCCATCTATCCAGCCACTGAGGAAACCTTTTATACTTGGTGCCAAAGTACAACTGGAAACCAGCAGCTAATATTCCTGGTAAATATACTAGTGCTAAAAGGGTAATTGAAACCACTGGTAAAACTTTGTTTATGACAAGGATCGGAATTTTATAGAAAACGTTTTCCTTTTTGGTTATAAAAGGATATACGACATCTCGCATAGAAGTGTAAATAAATGTTAATAATGAGAGCACGAATGCTATCTTCATTGGTAAGTGCCACTTGGGGAACAGATCCTGCTTGCAGTGTCGTTCTGAAGAGTGTTCAAACTCACTAAAATGGTGTGCTCGATGTAAATTAAAAAGTGCAGCTGCTTCTGATGGGTTGGTGACTTGCATATCCACATTCTGGAAAGGACAGAAAGGAAATACCAAGTGAGTTCAAGAGAAGATTGAAACTTCACTAATGGCAGTATTTGCCGTTGTGGCTTTTACACTGTACTGCACTGAAACCATATACAAAACATACACACTATTATAAACAAGGTAGTTTGAAAACATAGCATTTTAAAACATAGTAGTTAAGCCAGGCACTTTTAACATAGATTTCTCATTCTTCATTCATTATCTGTGATCATTTCAAAATAGATTTTAATTTTCAGGAAGTTAACTACACCACAAGGGAAGATGAATTACATTATGTGAAGCATCATTACAGCTTCTTATGATATGAGCTACAGATTTCAAATGTCAAATTTCAGCTACAGACTTCATGATGTAGCCCAAATAATATGCAAAATAACAGCATCCAGTGTCAAGACATTAAAATATTTCATTCAGTCACTGCTATTTTAATGACATTTAATTGGGGAATACAGATGTAAATAGAAATATTTGGGGTCCAGCATATTAGGCAAGCTGCACATTGGTCAGCCCTAGCATCAAGTCCTATGGTCTTCTTCCTCTCCTTCACAAAGTCTTCTTAACTTTTCTTAAACCTTGTGAAACGGAGTCACTTCAGGTTAAAAAGCTGAATTTTCTGCTGCCAAATAGGCATGCCTTGATTCTAGTCTCACAGATCTTGGCAGAATTATCACAGACTTCAGAAGGGGCTAAACTAGTACAAGATTTTGGAGTAATATTATAAACTGTATTACATGGTGATAAAAGATGCATGGAAGATTAAAGATTCATGGAAGAGGTATATGACCGTTGTACATACAAAATGAAAACACGTGTATCAACAGTAGGACATTGCACTTGATGCATCAGAGAGCTGACCAGCAGTGGAGAATTGATAACATTAGGTAATAAACAGGTAAGTCCTTTAATATTCTTGTGCAATATAAAGTAAAACTGAACTAGTGATGCAATGGCTCAGCTTTAGAATGGCTAATGTAGCAGATGTCCAGACCTCCAGAAGCAAAATGGCACTGTCCGTTTTGAGAAAGACAAATAGTAGCTTGGAAGTTGTAAATTAGCATCCTGCTAAGATACAAGAGAACTTCCTATCTCAGCAACGTTATCTGTCTTTATGCTCAAGAATCAGATATCATACTGAAGCTGATCAAGGGGTCAATTCAAACAAGTTACTGCTTGTAAATAAGGTAAGGCTAGGTAGATGTGAATCTTGCGTTCATTTTTGGAGAAACACAGGTGTTTTGTTTTAACAGAAAGATAAAAAATGTGCACTGCTATCTCATAAAAATCCCATTTGGAGATGAGGTAACCTCGACAGACAAAATCACATGAAAGATTGCAATATTCTGGGTGACATTGGAGCTGCTTTTTTTACAGAACTTCATCTGTTTTTGCAGCTTTTTAAACTTTTACCCAGGTTTTTATTTCTTTTTACTTTTTTATTTTTTATTTATTAACTTTTTTTTACAGAAACATTACCAAGTTGCCAAAGTTTCCCATATTTCTTCTTGGCACGATGTTCTGACTTGCATTCTGATCAATGGCATGTTTATCACTTTCCTTCTTCTCCATTACAGAAATTCCCTGCAAAGCAAACACAGAATGTAAAACAGGTTTTGAAAAGCCCTGAACTTGAACTTTGGGGCCTTCAAATGTTTTCTTCCCTCTCCTCCACCCATATACTGGAGAAGGTGTGATAATCTAGGGAAAGTCTGAATTCTGAAAAGATAACAGAAAATCTTGCTTATTTTTTTCAGAACAAAATCATCGATGAAAAATTTTAGCTAAATGCCCATGTCACCAGTGGAATGAAGGCATTAACTCACACTGAAAGCTTTTAAATGATAGCAAATAAGTGTGAAACAGCTTATGGAAATAACATGTAAAATGTTATGAAGATGGATTTTTGGAAAGTTCATGAGACTTGCTGATCCAAGAAGCCCAGGCAAATGTGTTGTTCTTAATATTTTTTAGATTTTAGGATTGGTCTACCTGACAGTCACTCAGCGGCTTTAGAGGTATATTCTTCCTTCAAGACTGCCAGGAAATTCCAGCTGGAGCTTTGCTCATGCTGTTTCAAGGTATACTGGCAGTACTCATCACCCACAAGTACCAGCAGAAACTCTAAGCTATTGAGGATTACAAGAAATCAGAAGCCAGGGAAAAAAAAAATGAGGGAGAATAGATAAACTGATGGATGTTTCTGAAAATCCATCCTAGGATAGCAGGAAAGACAATATCTTGAAGGCTGTAAAGTAACAACAAGAACTGCAAGGACCCTGCATCAGGATCGCATGTGTGCATCCCACTGTTGCACACTGAAGGAGGAGAGGTGCTAGCACCACACCACTGGAAGGTCTGGGTGCCATACTACAGCCTGATTTTCTGTGGCTACCTTTAAAACAGTGATAAAGTAGCTCTTCCATGTACCTTCATACTGAGCAGCTGAATTACTAGATAGGAAACGGTTTTGCTAACAACTCATTCTTTTATATTCATAAACCTTTTGGGAAATTGTATGGACAAATCAGACTTTGACAGTTGACCTTTTCTTACTGTGTCTGGTTCTTCAGTGGATAAGCCCTACAGCCTCGTACTGTCTGCTATGAGGGTTTGCTTTCTGCCAGGCCACCAGACTCCTGAAGCCAAAGTATTCTTTTCCTAAGTATTTCACTTTGGATTTTTCCCTCCTGCTAGCAAGTTCTACCTTTGGGCATAACCTTTCAGCCAAGTGCTGCAGAGTAGGGTCAACAAGAGCTTCTGTCTGAAGGTCAGGCTGTTAACCCTTCCCTACACCAGCCAATGGATGTTTTGTGTATCCTGCACACAGAAAGCATGGGCTGAGGAAGGCACATTTCTGTTTTTCCCTGCTATTCCTATGTCTAATCCCAGCGATTTTATCACAAGTTTCAGGCTATCAGACATCTTCATAAAACTTCAGCTCATGCAGTCCCATGATTAGTTAAGAATTTCAACTTCTGTATGTTTCAATATGCTGTATTTCTACCTGTTACAATGGCAATGCCAACAGAACTCAATATAACTTACCTACCTGGAAAAAAAGAGCAACAAATAGGTTGAGCTCCAGATCTACTTTTAAAAGAACTCATTATATGAAGGGCAGTCATATCTGCAGTCACTCTTTACTCTTTTTGGGGCCTACCCTCTGATTTTTGCAGTATAATGCTTTTTTGCAGTATAATGTTTTTTAATAAAAGGACATAAAGTTACAGACTGACTTTTTATTCTTTTAGATAATGAGACTGACTTCTTAAAATTGTTAAAACAGTGTGTGGCTTGGATCTTTTCTGCTGTTTTATTTTTAATTTGTTTTTTCTGTATTGATCTCCACTGAGCTTTCAACTGTTAATATCCCCAGTCTATGTGAGCTTACACGGTGATTCCAGTCACTTCAATAACTTTCCTCTTCTGATCACCACACTGTCTTGGGGGTCCAAAAGAATGTTTAGATTGTGAAGCTCTGTGTGGAAGAGCTTGACTCACTTGATTCTCATGTACTATCATTCCTAATTTAGAAAATTTAGAAATGAAGAACCCAGTAATGGTTTTCAAGCAAAGGTTTGTATTGATGAAGATGTACCATGATGAGAAACAAAATATGCATGAGCTGGAATGACAGCTGCTGATCCTAAATGCTGATTTAATGGTTATTTTGGGAAACAATGTTTAATACCATGTTAAGTACAGCATTAATGGTGTATGCAGCAGAAAACAAAATGGAAAAAAAAGAAGAAAGTGTATGAAAAAAATGAATGCATTTTTCCATCCACATTTCCATGGATGAGCATTCATCCATGGAAAGATGGGCTACAGCCAAGCGACCGCATGCAAGGAAACATAGATGCCAAATGACAACAGTCCCCTTGGCTTCTGATACCAGTTTTAACGCAAAATTATTTCTTGAGTAGGCCCAGTAACAAAGCACAGTAATAGCCTTGGAAACTCTTAAATACAACTCACTTACAATTCCACTATTCATTGTCCTATGAATTGTCAGAAAGGAGTCATCTACAGCATGCATCTTTTTGGAATACCTCTGAAGAAAGAAATTTAGGAGTCCTGTGGGAGACAAAAACTCGCCATTTATAGCCCTACAGAAGTCGTAACTGTTACGAAAGACAACAGTTGCAGTAATGTCCATTCACAGTGCACACCCCTTCTGCTCTGGGAGGCAGCTGATGATGGGGATGGAGGATATCCAGCTGCAGGAAGCCAATTTCCCAACACTGTGAGTACGCTACTGCATTTTGTACCAAGAAAACAGGCTCTTTATAAGGCTGAACCAACAAGTACTCACACTGTGCAGACATCACCCCAAGAAAATCTCATCCAAAGTCAATGAGAGGTTTTCCCTTGTAAAGAGTTTCAGGGCTGGCACAAATGGGCAAAACAAATAGGCTATGATAATGTGGATGAGGTGTTGGCAAAGGCACGGGACAGGGCCCACATCTCTCTCCTTTGGCACTATTTGAACACGACAAGGTGGGAGCGTTAGCGATAGCTGCCTCGCTCCTGCAGTGCCCGCCGCACCGCGCAGGACGATGTAAGCACTCAGCGCAGGAGAAAATAACTTACCCTTAACTTACTCTTCAGGAATTCTGCTGAGCTCTGTGGAAAACCTAATGGAAGGCCGGGGGGATGGGAGCAGGAGCGCGTCGCTCACAGGTCCTCCTCGGTCACAGTCGCCGGGGCAGGGCCGGGTGGGCTGCCAGCCCGACGCCCGGCGCTGAGAGCCGCTCCGCAGAGGAGCCCGAGCCCGAGCCCGATCCCGCCAGAAGGACCCGTCCTGTCCCGTCCGGTCCCTACAGTCGCAGGTCGGGCGGGGCCCCGCTCCGGAACCCGGCCACGTGGGCGCGCTTGGACGCCTCCCCAGAGGCTCCGCCAGCGGCCGCTCCCCCGTTTCCCCTTGCCCCGGGGCTCACGCACCTCGTCCCGCAGCCTTTTCTCCCTGCAGGATGCCCAACTGCCCCCGCTGGGGCCGGCGGCGGCGTCGGGCTTCGGCTCGTCTTGGCAGGGGGGCAGCCCCTGGCGGCGGCAGTGCGGGCGCCGGTGCCCGGCCTCGGCGCGGCTCTGTCGGGGAAGGCGGGCTCAGGTCAGCGGCGGATTGCCTGCCGGGCTCTTAGGGGAGCGGAGCAGGGGCCTGGCCGCAGCCTGCACCTCCCCTCCCGGCCCCGCCTTCCGCGCCCATCCCGCTCCCCTCCTCGCAGCGGAGTGCGTGCCGGGGTTCCGTCCTGTGTCCCGAGCCGCAGCAGCGGTGGGCATATTGGGGCGTGGAGCGGCGGTGCCGGAGGGGAGACCCCGAGGTGCCCGGGCGGCCGCCCCAAGAAGATCCCAGCTGTAGGTCTGCTGGGGCCTCGGCTGGACAAAGGGCTCATTCACCTGCGCCTTCTCCGCCCCGCAGGAGGTGGGGAAGAAGGAGGAGGAGGTGAAGGAAGAAGAGACGAGGCACCGAGATGCTCTTGCCTCCCCGGGCGCCCCCTGTTCCCTGAGCTTCCCTTTCTCCAGGAGCCCCTCTCCCTTTGCCGGGCCGCAGGCATAGATTCTCGGGGTGTGCTGCAGCACCTCGGGGCACCGGCGCTGCCCTCGCCGGGCAGGCTCCCGCGAAAAGCGGCCCTTCGGGTCCCTGCCTGGGAAACCTTCTCCTCGCCTTCCGGTTCCTTTCCTGTTCCCTGCCGGTTCTTCCAAACTTGCCACTGTCCCAGCCTGACACAATACTGTACTAAATCCTGCTTCCAATACGAGCAGTCGGCACTTTATTATTCCCTTTCCCCCCTGTACTCCCGCAATACCGTGATCTGGTGCCGTTTTTCTGTGCTGGCGATTCTGAAAAGGCAGCTGTCTCCTGAAAGTTCAGTCACACAGTAAAATGAACTAACATTATATATCTTGTGGGAGCTCTGGTTTAGTGGCTATTTTGACGTTTGGTGGCTGACACTGCAGAAAGCACGGCCAGTCCATCTGAAATGTTTTTATTTCCTCACGCAGGGCTCATTGTGTTTTCCTCAGGTTGTCTTCACAGAAATGATGCCAAATTCCATCTCTTTGTATTTTAGGAATATATTTTTTCCTCCTTCTCAGTAGATGCTAAGTGGACGTAGACTTAAGCTGAATGGTACATCTGGCAGAGGAGAGGAGATTTACTTGAAAGGAATAAAAGTCACAGCAATTCTCTCGTGTTAAAACAAACCCTTAACTTTTATTTATTTTTTAGTTACCTTCATTAACGTATTTGCCTGTGCTTTGCATTAAGGCTATTTCCCACATGCTTTCCATTAGTGTCTTTATTTTTGCAAGGAATGCTGACTTCTGTATGCTCTCACTTTGTGAAAGTTGATTTTCTTTGCTTCTTTTTTGCACCTTCGGTTTGTTTTTTAACCCAGTTCCCAGCAGAGAGCATCAGCAGGGTGACGCCCGGCGGTGGGAGCACTGGGGAGGAGGCCGCCTGCAGCAAGGTGCATGGTAGTGCGTCGCCCTACACACCGGCTAAATGGGAATTTGTAGTCGAAGGGCTAAAAGAATTGTCTTATTCGAAGTGAAACCCCATGGTAAAGGTATCCTCAGAAGTCCTGGTGTAAGTTAGTGTTATAGGGATTACATTTCTAGCCCAAAAGGTAGCACAGGATGCTGAGAGATTTCAGCATCTGGATATCCTACCTTAAGGCTAGAATACCCTTAAGATATCCTCAGCCTTTTCATAAAGCACACAAGAGCTAAACTCCTGAATAA